TAAATGTGTGAATCTAATGGCCGTAACAAAAAAAATATATTTGAAAAATACAACGCCATTATCGACAAGGTATTCTTTTACAATGTCCAAATTGTAAAAGAAGAATATAACGCAGTAATGGGTGTTTTTTTAAGCCAGGTAGAACTTTAAATTGAGAAAAATAACACAAAAAGTAAATTTTTCGACCGTCAAAACGATAGTTTTTTGTCAACAGGACGTAAAATCACTTTACAGTTTCGATGTGACGTCACAAGCAATGTTAATAATGCATTTTCGTATTAAACCGGTTTCTGGATTCGTGGGAAGGCAGGCTGAACCGCAGCGCTTTGACCTCAGCAGATCCCTTGTACTTACTTCCCTCTTTTGGTCAGCTCTAGGGTCCTTCCAGCCATATTACAGATATTGCAGATGTCGTCGCCGTCGGTGTCACTTATTCCCATGTTCAATAAGTGCTTCTGTAGATGCCAGTATTAGACCAATGACCAAACGTAGGTACTTCCTGGACAGCCTCATAAATAAATCTGTTCGTTTAGGGTCAGGGTACATCAGAGCCTTCTTGGCTTGGCGACATCCTGGTGTCCTGTCCCAGTAAGTTAGAAACCTCTTACGTGTTAAGACCTTATTGTTGGGGCAATGAATGGTTCTGGCGATCCCGGATATAAACTGACCGGCAAAAAAAACCGGCCACTATAAATTTGCCACAACTTCAAAGCTGGCTTTCTCGCGAACCGCGCATTCGATTTTGATGATTCTTTTTTTGATGGAAAGGTTGATTCTTCTATAATAATCCTGCGATAGAAATTTTCGTTCAGATTTTAATTTGAGCATATACGGGGTGAGAAAAATGAGAAAAACTTTTATTCTCGAAATTTGTAACACCCTGTGGGGTGCAGCTGCTACAGCAGAGGGCATTACCTGGAATCAAACAGTAGCCCAATCTTTTCTGAGCATTTTCTTTTTTTATTTACTCTATTATCTCTGTTACTAACGAAGATGCAGCATTTTAAAGCGATCGCCTGTGAAAACAAGGTGAGTGACAATAGTAGCTGATGACCGTTTTATTGTTCTAAGCAATCGTAGAACGACAGCTGCATAAGCTCAGCATCGTCTTCAAATGGTGCGTGTTGTTGATGTCAGTGAGAGAACCATTCGCTGAAAACTTGCTAGAACTGGTCTGGCTGCAAGAAGGCTGCCAAAGGGCCGAGGCTGCTTCTTAGATATCGACGTGCGCGTCTTCAATCTGCGCGCTTACATATGAATTGGGAGATCGAGCAATAGAGGAATGAGTAGTGCAATGGAGGTCCTTTTTACGGATGAGTAATGGTTTTGTCTACTATCACCCGATAGTCAGGAGCGAATATGAAGACGTTGAAATGAAAGATTTGTGGACTATACAATTATGAAACTCGAAAGTTTCGATGATGGTTCTGTGATGGTGTGGCCGGGAATTTCCAAAGAAGCCTATACAGAATTTTAATCATTGTGGCCAAAAGTGGCGCCTTAAATCACTGACCTTGAAAACTAAAACTGGGCACCCGAAACAGTTTTTCAGAAGCACTTACATTTTCTTAGAATTACAGAATTGCGTACGTCCTTCATTATTGTAAACATCTGTTCTCAGTTCTAATATGCAGTAAAAACAAGGACACATAAACAAGAAAACAAATTTAATTTAATGTAATAATTAATAATAACACGAAAATTAATAACGTGTGTGCCCCCCACGAGCCAAAATAACGTCATGTAGTCGACGCGGCATCGAACTGATTAGGTTTGTAATTGATTCCTGAGGAATTGCGGTAAACTCTTCTTCAAGAGCAATTCGTAACTCCTGAAGGTTGTCCGGTAGGACAGGACGACGACGAATGCGTCTCTGAAGTTGATCCCAAAGATGTTCGATAGGGTTAAGGTCCGGGCTGCACGCTGGCCACTCCATCCGTTCAATACCCACCTCATCAAGATATTCGCTAACCACACGTGCTACGTGCGGTCGCGCATTGTCATGCATTAGCATGAATCCGTCACCAATAAAATGGGAATAGGGCACGACAGCTTCTTGCAGAATATCTTGGATATAACGGTGGGCATTTAGCGTGCCATTTTCAACAAAGATGAGCGCTGTATGCGCTTCCGTCGAAATACCCGCCCATACCATGACCGAACCTCCATGGAAAGGTACTCTTTCCGAAATTGTGCAGGTCGCAAACCTTTCATTACGACGTCTCCACACTCATTCTCGACCATCAGGTGACCGGAGACAAAATCGGGACTCGTCAGTGAAGAGCACCTTACCCCATTGTTCCATTTCCCAATTCGTATGTAGGCGCCCAAATTGAAGACGTGCTCGCCGATGTCTCTGGAGCAGCCGCTGTCTTTTGGCAGGTCTTCTTGCAGTTAGATCACTTTCAGCAAGTCTTCGACGAATGGTTCTTTCACTTACGTCAACCCCACGCACCATTTGAAGACGATGCCGAGTTTCTACAGCAGTCGTTCTACGATTCCTCAGAGTGTTTAGCACAATAAATCGATCATCAACTGCTGTTTTCACTCGTCTTCTACCGGAACCTTGCCGCCTAGTAAAATTTCCTGTTTCCACATATCGGTTCCAGGCATCCTGAACTGTTGTTCGGCGTATACCCAACGTATGGGCAACGTACCGCTGACTTTTGCCATCTTCAATTAAACTAATAGCAACATCAGTTATTGACAACGGCATCTTTGACAACTGTCAATTTACTATTCGAAACAACTGACATACGCTACTTAGCGCGCCACCTAGGATTTTGTATGCTTGTTTGTCTTCTTTTCACAGGCGTTCGCTTTAAAACACTGCATCTTCGTTAGTAACAAAGATAATAGAGTGAATAAAAATACAAAATGTCCAGAAAAGATTGGGTTACCGTTTGATTCCAGTTAACACCCTCTGCTGTAGCATGTGCACTCCACAGGGTATTACAAATTTCGAGAAAAAATGCTTTTCTCATTCTTGCACCCTGTATATGCTCAAATTAATATCCGAGTAAAAATTTCTATCGCAGGATTATTACAGAAGAATCAACCTTTCGATCAAAAAAGGAATCATCAAAATCGAATGAGTGGTTCGCGAGAAACCCAGCTTTGAAATTGTGGCAAAATTTTAGTGGCCGGTTTTTTTTGCCGGTCAGTTTATAACGGTGTGACTGGCTGTGACACAACAAAACGATAAACGTCAAATGGAAGAGGTTTGACACTTTTGTGCGCATGCGCCCGTCTGTTTAGTACCATTTTATGTCTATCTTTGTTACACTTTCACATTATCGCTTTCCATCTGCGTCTATTCACCTTGAGCCACATTTTTGTTAGTAGATATATTCAGTTAGCTCAATCCATATTATATATAATCAAAGACTGCGATTTTATTTAATTGTATCTACCTATATTTTTATATACAGGTGGTCCGTTACTAACGATACTTACTTTTACACTATCACTAGAACTAACACATTTTGTTTCTTCTATCCTTAACTACGCATCTTCTGTTTGGAACCCTCAATACCATATATACATTGATCGACTGGAACAAGTTCAAAAACGTTTTCTTCGGTACCTATCGCGAAAATTCTACTTACCATACTGTGATTACGCACAGCGATGCTTAATATTTGGAGTCCCTCAACTCTCTTCCAGGCGCATTAGTAACGATTTAATGCTGCTTTATAAAGTGAGTAACGGCACTGTTGACTGCTCCACGATTCTATCTCAGTTACAGTTTAGGATTCCTGTTCGACCATCCCGTGATTTATCGGTATTCTACGTGCCTTGTACTAATACAAATGCGTTTTCTAACTCCGTGGTCCCTCGTCTCATGTTTTCTTTTAACAATTTTTGTTCTGATTTAGACTTGTTTGCTACTCCCCGGTCTACATTTAGGAAATTGGTTAATGACCTCCCATGTGCATCTCGTGCGCCGTTTGACTTGCGACGTTAATTCTTTTTTTTTGATTGATTTTTTTTTTCAATATTTTTGATTATTAGTTTTGCTTAAGTTTCACTTTTTTGTTAAATTTTATTTCTGTTGCTATTTTTTTGTTAACCTGTTTAATATTTTTTTGTTACTTATTGCTAAATTCTTGTTTTTAGTTTATAATATTGTATATTTTTAGTGGATGCTTCGCTGGGCTTGTTCCGTCTGCATCCCAAATAAAAATAAAATAAATAAACACAAGACCTAGTACTAAAATCATTCGGGTTTAGCCGTCTTGAGAGGCGTGAAGCTAAATCCGAATGTTTCTAGATTTCGGTCTAGTATTAGTTCTAGTTTTAAATGTATTTAGCGTTAGTCTGTGGTATATTTTATTAGTGCAATAAAAATATACAACATAGTGATATCTTATGCTAACTAGTCTCTAGAACTAACATTAGACCTAGAACTAGAAAAAATCGGGTTAATGTTGTTTAGCGTTAGATTGTTTTATATAATACTAGATTTAGAACCAGAAACATTCGAGTATAGCCGTGCGTCTCTTAAGACGGCTAAACCTGAATATTTCTAGTTCTAGGTATAGTGTTAGTTCTAGTGACAGTGGTAGGTAGCATAAGATATCACTATGTTGTATATTTTTATTGCACTAAAGTTAGAACTAACACTAGACCTAGAAACATTCGGATTTAGCCGTGCGTCACAAAACGTGACGTCACATCGAAACTTTAATATGATCAAATATGATTTTCCGGTATGTTCTACACTTTTTCGCAATTTCTTATTATCGTCATTTCACATTGATTAAAACAGATCGGCGATTTTTAAACCAAATGATGATTCTTGAATTTTTCCGCGGAATTAATTTAATTATTGTTTTATTTCCAAATTTATTTTTTTTACGATTTTTATAAAAATCGAATTCAAGTTAGTTATTTCTCCCATACTTTGTAATTATTGAAACATTTAGGTTATGTTTGTTTATAAAGTGTTGACATTTAGTGATTTAAGTGATTCTAAATAAATAATTGTGTGAATTTAGGATACAAAAAATGGTCGAAATCAATTTTTTGTGCGTCCATAAGAAATTGCGTTCGAAAAGAGTCGCCCCAGTTTTAATCCGGGAAATAACGAGGCGAGTTCATCTCACCGGATTATTTCAAGCCGTTTACACGGCTGGCGTTGTTTTACCAAAACCCGTAGTAACATGCCGGTGAGTTCTAATTAATTTTTATTTATTTCTTAATTAATATTTAATTTTTTTTAGGTATTGGCATCGTTCGTTAAACCCAAAAAAATTAATCGAAGTTAAATTTTCACACTTATCTCGTAATATGACAATGCAACGAACTTTAAAGCTTTATAAACTCCCCGATCAACCGAGAACACCAGGGTTTCGTAAATTAACCCCGAAAGATGTCCCGCAAGCGCATAAGTTGCTTGGGGATTATTTAAAACGATTTGATTTGGCGCCGGTTTTTTCGAAAGAAGATTTCGGACACTGGTTTTTACCTCAAACTGATATTGTTGATAGTTTTGTCGTGGAAGTTGATGGGAAAATAACTGATTTCGTTAGTTATTACACTTTACCTTCAACGGTTATGTATCATCCGGTTCATAAAGTTTTAAAAGCGGCTTATTCGTTTTACAACGTTGCGAAAGCCACCCCTTGGATCGATTTGATGAACGACGCGTTAATTTCGGCTAAACAATTAAATTTCGATGTTTTTAATGCTTTGGATTTAATGGATAACAAGGAGTTTCTGGAGCCTCTCAAATTTGGGGTCGGCGATGGTAATTTACAATATTATTTGTATAATTGGAGGTGCCCCGCGATTCAACCATCGAAAATCGGACTTGTTCTTCAATAAGTTTTAAACTAAATAATAAAAATTGGGAAAATTGAACATTTTTTTTGAGGTTAGGTTTTTTAGGTGCAATAATTTGTATGTTAAAGATATAATACAAATAGTGAGCACCTTTAAGGAGTTTAAGTAATGATGATAATAATAAAAGAAAAGGAGAGAACACCACAATTTTATTTCTTTTTTTTTGGTTTTGATAAAATTAATAATTAATTAATTAATTAAAGTATTTAAGCAAATTTTTAGTGAATTAATTTTTGTATCTTTTTGTTCTGTTATTATCGATAATAAAAAGATTGAAATTCAATTAATTCTGCTTTTACGCGATATCTTAAGAATCGGGTAAAAAATTGTGATTAAAGTAGCCATATTCATTTTAACACTTTTTTTGTCACCTGGGTCATACAGTTGACCTTCGACATTAACATCCTAACTTCCATCATTCCTTTGTAGCCACCTTTGAAATAAATTACCGGTGCTCAACTCTTTGTTCTTTCTTTTATAGCCTCAAAAACTTCAGTTGGCATTGCTGGATCATACTTGTGATTAATTTCATCTCTTGTAACTGCTTTTCGTAATTGCTAAGCACGCCACGATCTTGGGCCTTCTGGGCATAAGAGATGTTGAAGTGGGTGTCTTTGAGGCAAAACAAACACTAACAAAAAATCAATACAATACTAGGACGGTTTATGGGCTTTACCGGTTTTTCTTCAGCACATTCACACAAAAGAAATTCAAAACAACATAATATCGGAAAAACGAGAAGAATATCAATAAAATACACTCACAAAATAATAAAACATTCTATCCTAATAATCTTTCCCTTCTCATGTCCTCCATCACATTAACACCCATTTTCCTCATGAGATCTCGAAACACATACTAACACACGGCTTTGCGATTTCACTAACTCTCTCAACACAACCAAACGTTTCCCGACCTTTCTCAGAAACATTCCATATCTCTTGCATTTCCTTTAAAATATTTCCTCCTCTGGTTATATGCCAAAATTGCGGGAAGCACGATAGCGCTCCTATAGTTTTATGGTAAGAGCGAGGAGAGTGACTGCGCTCCTCCGCATTTTTGGCATATGCTCACAAAATTTGTTCCGCACTCAAACGGTTAAAGTCAACTCCTCATTTCTCCTCTGCCCGACCAAAACCTCAAATACGCCCGAACAACTGCTAAATCCATCGGAAGCCTACCGGCCAACACCTGTAACGCATCATCGTCGCCTGAATGCAGAACTATACAATGTCCAAAAACTAAATTTTTCAGGAGACGATTTTTTCTTTTAGGCTTATTATATTTAAGTATTTTAAACTACAAAACCGGTTTTGGGCTTAAAAACGGACCAGTAATTTATTGTTATATGTGTAAAAAGAATGGTATGGGTAATAGTTGAAAAGATGGACATACAATAGTTATGCAATTTCAAACTATGGTAAGTCCATAGCAGTGGACTTGCACTACTGAGTGAAAGGGACTTAAAATAGTTCTGATCTATACTAAAATTTAGGAAAACAATCAAACAAAATGTTGCATATTTTTAGAATTTATTCAAAAGGTTCGAGATATTTAAAAACTAAACTAGGAACTTGAACATAGTAAGTAATTTTAATGATTATTATCATTCGCACTGTCAGGACAAACCCATAAATCTATAAAAAAGTCAGGTAACTTTTTATATTGCAGTCTGAAACAGTCTTATCAAAAGTACAACTAAACACAAATAGCTGAAATAAAAAAAACGGAAAATACAAATTCTAAAACACTAGATATAGAAAAACAACTTAGTTATCATCGTCTTCTTCATTTACATAGGCTCGTTATTTTTAATTTGCCGCGAAATTTCTTTATTGTTTAAATGGTGTCTGTATTCCTCTTCTAACTCAATTTTTTTTTCAGTCGGCATATTTTCGAAATTGTGGCACTTATCGCACAAGTCTTTTTTGGGTACAAAAAAATGAAAGATTAAATTCAGTGTTAAATATCTGACGATAGATGCTTTCTGTACTTATTTTTGTTATATTATTGTCTTGGCAATATTCTAAATAAAGATAANAAAAATGAAAGATTAAATTCAGTGTTAAATATCTGACGATAAATGCTTTCTGTACTTATTTTTGTTATATTATTGTCTTGGCAATATTCTAAATAAAGATAATACATTTTCGAAATATTAGGGGTTGCTGGCAAATATTTTTTTTGAGTAGAATTTCTACAATAATGACTGTCTATTGTATCAAAAGCGTTAATGTGAGTTCTAACAGAGTTTTTGACTGATTCGTCTAGTAAAGAATTCTTACATGCTTTGCCTCTTCTGTCTTCTACAACCGTGCCTGAGCTACTAATTTTTGAAAAGGCCGTAACTACCATTTGTCCACTTATGCTTAATGTGTTAAGAAAAAATTGTTTGCAAACCAATATTCTTTTGCTTCCGATTGACAAGAAATACTTGAAAGTATTTTTTCTTCGACTCTGGACCTCCTCATCTACTTCTGGCTTAGGACGTTTTCGACACCTTTCTTTCTCTTCAAGACAAATGAACTTCGAATTAAAGTCGCGTTGTCTATTTATATCGCCTAATGACCAAAAATTTAAAAATATTGATTTTCTTTCTTCCCCTGAAATTTTTTCAGTGCATTTATTCCTGCAGTTTTGACATGGAGGTTTTAATTTTCTTTGCGCCTGAGTGTTATCTTTCCAATTCACATATTCCTTTCCGCTGTTCCTGGAATTTTTAATACAGTTTCTTCTCCAGTTCTCGATATTTCTTTTTCTGGTTTTCTTTTTCGAAGTCTTCGTTTTCCGTGTCGGTACTTTTTAATTGATGTACGTTGTTCTTGCGTTGATTATCCAGGACAAAATCTGGGTCATCACTGTCATGGTCCGTTGCATATGGATCGGGTTCTGATGATGGGGATCCAGGGAAGTCATCATCAATGCTATCTTCGTTGTTTAAAGTAGCCAAAACTGTTCGCCTCTGTGGGTTAGTAAAGAGATCCCTTAAGTCCACGTTAGTTAAGGTAGCCAAATTCGTTCGCTTCTGTTGGTTATCAAAGAGATCATCTAGGTGTGATTGTAGTATTTTAAAACTAGAATCAAAGTCCAGGCTAGTAATTAATGATGAACTTTCGTTTGTCACTAATTCTGGTGGAGGCTCTAGATTACTGGATAGGGACATTACTCGACCATAGTAAGTTTCATTATTAGCGGCTTCTAATTTACTAGTATCTGGTAACTCAATTAGAACAGGCTTCCGAACACCTGAAACGAAATATTATTTTTGAATCTTTGCATTGTTACTACTACCCACAAAAATAACTAAAGTCTATTCAAATCCACGGCGATGTGACATAAAGAAACGCACGCCGCCCGTGCGTGATCAATGTGCATTGTTTATGTCGCGTCGTCTTGGATTTGACTATACTTTAATACAAGATATTTTAAAAATATTTGGTAGATATTTAATTTAAAATTCAAAAAATTGGCAAACAAGCCTAATAAAATGAAGTGAATATTATTATAAAGCGCTATTACAGGATATTTTAAATTAATTGAAGTGGAGGGGAAACTGAGCGCTGGGACTTATAATACTCTGCATGCAACGAAGCGCACTACTAGCTATCATTTACTGACCAAAACCGATTTTAAGAAAATATGGACTTACACTGGTTCTCTATTCAAGCGACGTCATTTGAAACTGTTCGTTACAAGTTTCTTCCGGAAATGGCTGTTACTCGCCCTATAACTCCGTAAACCACATTCGTACAACGATTTTTCTAATAAATTTTTTTCGAAATGTTTATTATAACCGTACATATATACATAACACGGGAACTGTTTAAAGTTACTCGCTATTGTCCAATAGCGGACGTCTTTGATTCACCGAAAAAGTTTATTTCTCTTTCCGTGTCGAATCTATTGGTGACTACACGTGGGAAACGAATTATGAACGGCGCGGCGGACCAGCCGAAAGTGGCACCGATTACCCGACTCTGATTTACGATTTGCTATTGGTCGTTTTTAAACAGTTCCCATGCGGTTATTGTAAACATTTCGAAAAATTTTATTAAAAGAATTGGTTCAGAATAATGTATCCTTCAACCGTATAATGCTCTGATGCGGAAGATACGAGGCACCCTGTATAACATGCATGGCCGATGGTTTGAGACCCCATTCATACCGCATTACTCTACGTAACATTCCCACCAACTTCGCAAGCTTCTCCACGTACCTTAGATGTTCTATGTATATAAATTTATCATCTAAAACGATTCCCAGGTACATTCCCTTCTTTTTGCAGGCCAACGAAGTTACCCCATACTTTATCACAGGATTCCTCTTCAGTTTGCCTTTCATCAACATCGAATAGAGCGCATGAAAGTGATTGTTTAACTTTCCTGAATTATGTTCATTCTGCATCCTTTAGCAGATCAATTCATGTGCACGGTGGTGTTATAATAATGACCAAAAATAAGGTTCGCTTCAAAAGGATCTCACGTGATAAAGCTGACTTAAGCAAAATAATTATACAAAACGCAATTTAATATACAGGACGGTTTATTACTCAACATGATTTACTGGTATAAAAGTTAAGATATTATTAATACGTCGTATTTTCCGCCATCGCCATTCCAACTTCTAACATCATCATGTCTTCATACTTACCATGACACTCGCACCTCTTTCCTTCAACTGCGCTCTGCTGTCACCTTTGATCAACACGAGCAAGTCATCAGCGTAACCTATCAACTCAACCCCCTCTCCCTGACATCAAAAATCCCATCGAAGACAAGATTCCATAGTCGAGGGACCCGCGGACATCCCCCATCATACTCCTACTAACTCTTCCCGCACTTGCCTCCATCACCACATCCCTGTGACGCAGATAACTTCTCATTAACCCATAAATTTCTCTTTCGGTACTTATTGCACGCAGTCTCCTTAGAATAACATACCAGCTTAGGTTATCGAATGCCCCAGCGATATCCACAAATACAGTCAGAGACATATTTCTCCCTCACCTCATTCACAACCTTTTGAACCGTAACCAGTGCATTTAATGTTCCTCTCCTCTCCTTAAACCCAAATTGCCTATCCTTAGCCCATCCCCATCATTAACGTTTCCAGAACCTTGCCCATCACATTACTGCTTTAGCCGATTT